ACCGGCTTGCACACTCGGCAGCCGCCTCTCTGCTTCACGCACCCTCCGGTAACGAAAAGTATTTAGTAATAGCCTTTTGCTGCAACTTTTTTCCTGATAATCCTTCTTCTTCTGAACTTTCTTTTTCTTTCTGACTAGAGTTCCTGGGCTCTTATCAACACATGCCCTAACTATTCTTGGTTCCACTGGGGTGCCTCCTTTCCTTAGTAATTTACTTCTCACCCCTTCCATATTTTCATCACAAAGACAATACAATACACTGAGACAAAACAAGACACAAACATACTGTATCAATCTTCTCCATTTTCTCGAAATGGTCATTTTTCCTCTCCCCTATCTGCCTAGGGACGAGCAGATTGCTCCCGTCCTATCTATGGACGGGCAGCATTTTTCGTCACTTACCCCCGAGTGTCCCGGGGCTCCCCGTAACGGGCCACCATCTGCCGCAGTCCGGCTGCAGCAAAATAACCTGGGGGTGACGAATAACTTGTGTACGTTGATACAGCAGGAGTAGGAGCCGTTTATTGCAGGACAGGAGCAGTATTTATACATTCCACACAGCTTATCTAATTAGCATAAACTAGATACATCAGTCAACCAATAAGGAATCTCCACACTTAATGGCTCGCTTTTGTTACTTCTCAAACCACTCCCTCTGGCATTTTGCCAGGCACCATCCAGACTTGTTTACGAACTCTAACATTCCCCTGGCAAAATGCCAGGTGTTATTTTTGACTTGTTTACAGACTCTAACAACTTGACCGTTTGCTTCAGTTCAGTCGTTCAGGGTCAGTTGTTTTCTGCCTTAACCATCTTATTCCTGTCTTTCAACAGTGCAAAAGTGCAGAAAATTGATTTTCATAGGAATGTGACGGCACCCATAACTAAAGATCTTGGAAGAAACATAAACTACACTGAAAGAGGCGTGTTCTTCAGTGTGGACACCTGGACCCCGGTGAGGACCTTCTGCCCTTGATGGACAAGGGGAGCATGCTGCTTCTCACGACAGGTGTTTCGTAGCATCATCCCTGGGCAGTGACCATCATGACAGGGTCCTTGGGTTCCTGCAGGGCCAGAAAATGGCTGGGGCCTCTGAGTGTGGTTTGTTGCAGAGACGTCCTGAGACACAAGTCTAGATGGGCCTCTCTGGCCTTGGTCGACTTGGTGGAGGCTTGGGGGCTGTGGGCACCTGGACTAGCCCTGCTTTGGCCCTAGGTCAAGGCGTCCACCCATGGAAAGCTCCTGCACAGCCCTGTGCTCTGGGACCCATGCTCTGAAGTTTGTCCACCAAATGGTCTCACAAGTGACACGCTACCATGGGGACATAAAATGAGAGAGAAATGGATTTTGGCTCTAGAAAATTTCAGTCTAGTATGAGTGACAAATGCATCATGTGGTAGGATAACCGATGTCAGGGAGAGGGACAGTTAGCGAGACAGTTTGTACCCAGAAGGCTCTGTGGAGGAGGGGCACGGGCTGGGGTCTCGAATGGCGGGTAGTGTTTATCAGTGAGATGCACTTTTCTGGAAGTGGCTTGGGAAGTCTCAGGATGTTTGAAACCCAAGACGGGGAGGCAGGTGGGTTTGTGGAGTGTGGGTGGCTGCTGCATATCAGAAGGTGTCCACAGCAGCATGGATGGTGTCATGGGAAGTGGCAGGGACCTGGGCACTTGGCTGCGTGGAGACGTGGCCTGTCGGTCATGCAGAGGGCCATCCCTGGTTCAGTGCTGCTGTTCACTGCCTTAAAATTCCTAATTTTGAATAAAGGGCTCTGCATTTCCCTTTTACCCTGAGCTCCATAAACTACGTAACTGGCCCTGGACCCGGGAACCTGGCGCAGCACGTATCATTTTGCCTTGTGTTTATATTTTTGTCTTGTTGGCAAAAAAACCCAAAAAAAACAAAGGAAAGAAAGAAAGAAATGAGTTGCGTGAGGGGAACTCTGTAGTCCCAGTGCCTGGCGTGATGCCTGGGCGGGGCAGGGGCTGAGGAGGTGCTTCCTCAGTGGACGAGCACGTGGAGCTGGGCGAGGAGTCCCCCACGGCAGGATCCGACTGGGAAAGAGACCTGGCACCCGCCTGCAGGCTGCTCGGGCCTGTGCTCCCCAGGGCCTGGGCTGCCGGCTGCCTCGTGACTGGCAGTTCTGCTCTGGGAAGGTTGTCTGCCTCATGTCACCCTCGGGTGGGTCTCGTCATGTCCACTTAACTTGGCTGGATCTAGTACCCGACCGGCTTGCTCAGGGCCACCTCAGTTGGCACCTGTGTCTCTGTAGTAGCCAGGGGAAGCACAACTTGGCATCCCAAGTCGAGGGCTGGCTGTCCCCTGGATTCTCTAGCACCCGGCACTCTGCTCATGGCCTGTCATGCCTGCCGGCGTCTGGACACTCCAAAGGCAAATGCGGGTGAGCTTAGGAGTGCTTGAGAGGGTATTTTTGGCAACCTGGTTTTACTCTGGTTCAATTGTTTGGGGAAAAAAAAGTAAGTATACACAAATACGTTATGGTTTAGGTTAAATAGACTTATCTTTTCTAATATTTTAGTCTGTGAAAATTATTTCATTCTGTTAGGTTCTGCAAATTGGCGCAGCCTCCTGACGTGGGCAGCTACCTTTCCCACACCGGCCCTGCCCTCTGGCTAGCACTCCGCCATCCTGGGGTGTAACCTGGGAAGGGGCGTCACTCTCCCCGCCGCCTGTCCTCAGTGATCGGCTGTTGATAGGAGTTTGTGCTCTGCTTCCTGCACAAGTCCACAGCTTCTGGTGATGGCGCCGTGTGCCTCCTGTAACGCCTCCTTGTCTTCCAGGATTCCATGTCCTTTATGTACCAGGCCTTGGAAAGGAACCTGCGGACCGTGTTCATGGCCCGCTCTCAGGAGCCCCTGAAGCACATCTCCAGCCCCTTGGCGTCTTACTTCACGTCTGTCCCCTACGCGAGGCTGGGCTGGTACGTCCGAGGCGGAGGAACTTGTGATGTTCCCATCGCCACTGGCTCATTCGCCATGTATCTTAAGTGGCTTCTGTTAGCGCCTTATTTTCCCATCGATTCATCATCAGAAAAACACTGATTTAGTGGTTGAGCTATTATAAGGATGAAGCAATCTCCTTAAAGTTGGTCAGATATGTATAAATATAAGAAACTTTCATTTTGCTAAGCAGTTACAACAAAATGTCCCTCAGAATATTTGCAAAGCTCCAATGAGCTTGGAGATGTGTTGTCTGTGTGTGTATTTTGCAATCTAAAGGCATTAGGAGAATGTATGCAGATAGCTCTAGTCATGATTTGAATATTGTGTCTTCATTGGTAGGAGGCTGGTACACCTTGGTGATTTTAGAGATTGTCAGGGATTCCCCTGCTCTTAATATTCATCCCAAACTCAGCCCAAGGGATGGTTTTCTGGAAGATTTAGTGAAGAATTTTTAAGCCACGTCCCTTAGGTCTGCATGACCTTGTGTTTTCTGGAAACACTTTTCCGGTGGTCCCTTTTTGGGCCACGGATGCTTCCCATCTAGCACAGGAGTCTGGGAGGTGCAGCGTCTCTGCCCTTATGAACAATGGCTTCTCTGCTGGCTCCCTGGAGGCAGCCTGCTGGGCAGGTAGGCTACTGGGGCAGCTCCAGGGCCTCCGTGGTGTCCACCCTGCCAGCAGGCGTCCGGCTCAGAAGCCACTCTGCCCCCTCTCAGTCTGCTAGTCCTTTACCTGGCTGTAAGAACTGGAATGACATTCGGTCTTTCCAGCTACATTGGACTGTTGGTCCACCTCTGTAACTGGCAGGTCACGAATCCCACAGAGAAGCACCCACGCAACACACGGGATACTAGTTTAACTCGTGGACAGTGCCCTGTGCGGCTGTGGTAGAGATGAACAGTTCAGCCAACACGAGCTCCTCTCTGAGTGGATGTCACTGAAGTGAGCTAAGCAGGTCAGCAGCAGCCTGTGTCCTGCCTGGAGGGACCGCAGTGCGGGGACAGGTGTCTCTGTGCATAGGCAGGCCAGGTGGGGCTGGGGATGCCTGGTTCTGCACACAGGCCCGGGTGCTTCCTGAGGCCACTTTTCATCTGCTCGGGTCATATGGGCTGCAGACACCAGAGGCCTCCATTTGGGCATTTGTCTTGCTGTCCCCTTGAGAGTGACTGAATCCCTCTCACTACTCAGGCTCTGAGGGGAATGTCCCCGGCAATCGGGCAGGGTGGGAGACCAGCGAGAGGAAGCTGAACCATCAGGCTCCACAGACAGAAGTGGGGGACAGTTGTACCTGCAGGGTACATAGTGGGTTCCTTCCTCTTCCCTAAGGGCAATGGCCTCTGCGGACCTCAACCAGGATGGGTACAGCGACCTTGTGGTGGGGGTGCCCGGCTACAGCCGCCCCGGCCACTTCCAGATTGGGCGTGTGTATCTCATCTACGGCAATGACCTGGGCCTACCCCCCACTGACCTGGACCTGGACACAGAGGCCAGCGGGAGCCTGGAGGGCTTCCAGGTGAGACTCCGCCTTGTGTTTCCTGTTCAGGTGGTTGGTGAGCCAATGCCTGCTGTGCGTGTGTGGGGGCGGGGGTGTGTGTGGTGTGTGGTGCGGGACCTCAGGCCTTGCACATGCCGGCCAAGCGTGAGCTAGGGCCCAGACCAACTGCTTGCATTTTGAGGCAGTTTCTTCAGCAGGAATAACCGGTAACAAGAAGAATCACAGTCGTGGATGGTCGGAGGGCTACATTTAGAGCCCGTTTCCTCTTCAGAGCGTGTGCATACCATTCATCTCATTCTGTATTTATTAACATCTTCCCAAAACGTCCATGCTATTTAGAATGGCTTCCGATGACCAGTGGGCTGTGTTTCTTAGTGAGGAACCCCTTCTCTTTTACACACACACACACACACACGTACTGCACTTTCTAAGGATTCTGGATGCACAGAGAAGTCGTGAAGGTGATGGAGTCCCCATATGCCCTCCATCAACCTCCTCTATGTTGACATCCTAATGTGATGATGCACAATTGTCAAGTGAAGGGCTGACGCTGGTAGACCACTGTTAACTATATTCCAGACTTTTTTCAGATTTGCTCCTCTGTTTCAAGCTTTTTCATCACCAGGAAGAATCCCCAGTGACCACACAGATGCTCCTGGGGAGTCTCGTGTGCTGGGTCCTTTTGTGAGTGCTCAGGTCCTAGAGGGCCTCCCAGGCCCTGGGGGACAGCCTCACAGCAGAGAGGACAGGAGGCAGCACTGCCTGTCAGACAAGGGGGTGTTGGGGACAGGCTTAGTGCTGTGGGTCCACGGGTCAAGCTCTGGGGAAAGAAGCCTGGACTTCAGAGTCAGATCCTTTTCCTTTCATGTTGTGAACAGAAACTAAGATAGCACGCCTGAAACACAGCACGCCTGAAACACAGCACGCCTGAAACACAGCACACCTGAAACACAGCACACCTGAAACTTAGCATACCTGAAACATACTTTTTTTAAAAAAAAAACTATACTGGGGATTTAACCCAGGAGCACTTTACCACTGGGCCACATCCCCAACCCTTTTTTATTTTTATATTTTGAGACAGGGTCTCATAAGTTGCTGAGGGCCTTGCTGAGTTGCTAAGGCTGGCCTCAAACTTGCGCTCCTCCTGCCTCAGCCTTCCAAGTTGCTGGTATTACAGGTGCGCACCATGTGTCTGGCTGAAATGTATTTTAAAGAAGCAAAAGTTACAATGGCTTCTGATCTAGGTTAGGTAGTGATGGAGGAAGCCTGAGCTGGAAATGTGTCAACAAGTTGACCAGAGTATGAGGTCACACAGTCCCAGAAGCAGTCCCATTTCCGGAGCCTTCTCTCACCATAGAGGTTTCAAAATCAATCAACCCATTCCAATGGCTTCTCACTGCTGCACAAGCCGTGGCCCTGTCCGACTGCTGTGTGAAGTCTATCCCTTGGGGCTCGTGTGGATAGGGAGGAAGAGGATGATAAACTCTTTCCTGGGTGGGCCTTTGGTGGTTGGCAGATGGCCAGGTTAGGGCCTGGGGTCGGGTGGGAATCCCGTGTTCCTGCCCTGGGCTGCAGTGAGCCTGTGTCTTCATCTAGAGGGGAGGGTGGAGGTCCACAGATCAAGGACGTGCCTGTCACAACATCCCGAGCTGCTCTGGGGCCCAGCCGAGGCAGGGCTTGTCAGCATGGCTGGCGGTGGGGAAAGGCTCCAATCCTCGGAGGGCTGTAACCAGGTCTCCACCCTGCCCGGGCCTGCGGGTGTCCCTGAGCAATCTTCTCGCTCATCGAGTTCCTGCTGTTGAAGGGCAGCGTTCACAGGTGCCACTGGGCACGGTGTGGGGATTAGTAAGTCACAGATGTGGACACTGGGGCGTGTGGCCTGGCAGGCCTCGCTGCGTGGGCGACCATTCATCCTGGCGTTGTGAAAGAACTGCTTTAGGTGTAGGCCGACTTGCCACAGCAGATCAGCCAGGAGTCCCAATGAGGGAAATAACAGAAGGTCCACTGTGCAGGACAGTTGTCCCGAATCCACTGAGGTTTCCGGTTGTAGCCAGAGTGGGGACGACAACGGTCACACCTTAGTCCACATAAAGTGTTCAGGACAGGGCTCCAGCTCTCTGGCCCACAGAACCTTCTACCGGCATGAAACGTCCTTTGGCTGTGCTGGCCAGCATGGGAACCACTGGGCACGGGACTGTGAGCATTTGAAGTGGGACAAGTGCAAGTGGGGAATAGAAATTTTAAATCTTATTTGATATTTGTTGATATTTGATATTATTTGATATTAGTTGCTTTTCATTTAAATACACTAGCCATATTTGGCTAGCAGCTACCACCCTGGATGGCGTGGCTCTAAATCATCCTGAGCATTCAACAAATGTCAGCCACTGTGGCTGGCATTATGTGATGATTACTTTAGATGTTTTCCAAGAGGAGTTTGGTGCTCATGGTCGGGTAGAGCACCCGTAGGGCCATCTTCTACAAGCCTGGAACTCCTAAGGAGGATCCTCTGCTTTCTGGCATTTCATCTTTCCCTCGAGGCTGACAGATATGCCAAAAAGACGTGCTGAGGCCCCAGGCTGCTGTGGTTTTGCACCTTAGACTTTGGGCCATAGGTGGGGTCCCTAGGTCTCTGCCTGCAGGTTCAGGCTCTTGTGGAGGGCATGGCTTGGGGTGGGGGGTGTTCAGCTTAGCCCAGGGGAGTGACCTATGCATCTTCAGCCCTCAGGTCGCTTTGGCTCAGCCGTGGCTGTGTTGGATTTTAACCAGGACGGGGTTCCGGACTTGGCTGTGGGAGCACCCTCTGTGGGCTCTGAGCAGCTCACATACAAAGTAAGGCTGCTGCTGATGGGGATGGAGGGGAGGCCAAACTGGGGAGCCCCTGGAACAAGGCGGATGCCCCCCACTGTGCCAGGCAAGCATTTGTGGGCAGGTGAGCTCTGGCCACATTTGGGTCTGTGACGTGGTCTCGGTTGCCTCATAGCACCTCTTCCTGCCTCTGGCCTTATTCTGACCTCAGGGTTTCCCAGTTCCAGCAGGTAGTGGACACCTGCCCCATGATGCTCTAAGCTGGCGAGGGAGACAGGAATTCCACCCACTAGGAAGCTTCTGCAGCCACGGAAGGAGCGGGGTGCTCCCTGGACCTTCTTTCAGGCTTCTCTCCAAAAGCAGAGGACCTGGGCCCTCTCTTCCCACAGGTTCTCCAGGCCCCCAGCACTTGGGCACCCATGTAACCCCTCTGGCTCTCACGTCAGGCCTTTTCTTTAGAAGTGACTTGTCCCTCTTGCAGGAAGTGTTACTAACCCTGGGTGAGGCCAGCTTCATTGTGCTTGGGAGCGTCGTACTTCTACCCAGGGCCACTCCTTCCACACTTCACACCCCGCCTGCCTGCCCACCAGCTTCAGGAGAGCACAGAACAGAGCTGGCCTTACCTGCCCTTGTGTACCCAGTCCTCAGCTAAGGTGGAAAGTGACCTCTTGTAGAGTGTGTGGGGCTCGAGAGAGCCATCTGACTCGTCACCAGGAAAGGAGCTCAGATGGCTCTCTGGCCAAGAATGGAACAGACTGGGTGTTCTGTCACCTTAGAGGTATGAAGGCCAGCTAAGCACGGAAGGCCCAGGTGACAGAATGAAGCTAGCCTTGGAGGGAGGAGTTGGGGGAGATTCTCTATAGACACATTCAACAATGACATCTGGCAGGTCCTGAGCAAGGCTCTGGGGAGATGAAAGTAGAAATGGCCTTCTGCTTTGGGGGCTCCCATAGTCTGATGGAAGTGACCAATTGCGAGACTTCAGCCCAGTAGCCATGGGCAGGATGGGCTGGTCAGTCCAGGCACCCTAGAGACGGTGGTGGTTTGTTTCCTGGTTGGTCCTCTGTCGGCTGCTCTTGAGGGCTCCTGTGGCTGTCTGTTCTTGCCTAGGGTGCAGTGTACGTCTACTTTGGTTCCAAACAAGGAAGACTGAATTCTCCCCCTAACATCACCATCTCCTGCCAGGTATGTCCACCCCTTGGTCCTGGTAGAGAATCCAGTACGCGCTGCATCCCAGTTGCCCCAGGGTGAGTCCCCAGTGCCTCTCTTGTTCCCCCTGAAGGACACCTACTGCAACCTGGGCTGGACACTCCTCGCTGCAGATGTGAATGGAGACAGTGAGCCCGACCTAGTGATCGGCTCCCCCTTTGCACCGGGTGGAGGAAGGCAGAAGGGAATCGTGGCTGCCTTTTATTCTGGCCCCTGCCAGAGCAACCAAGGTAATGATGATGGAGGGAAGATGGAGTTGATGGAGGGAAGGGGTCCAGCGCCCTAGCTGTGGGTTTCTGGACTCTTTCCTCATTCCATATCATGTCAGCGAGACCAACAGTCTTACACTCTTAGGGATGTTCTGGTAATGGGTGTTGCCTAGTCACTGAGTCTATAAAAGTGACCTAGATACTAGGGAGTCACTAGCTCATTCTCATAGTCTTTCAAGGTGAAATAAAAAAGCTAAGAAGTCTTAGGACCAGGCATCCCAGTGTGTGCTGAATTTCCAGAGAAAGGCATTTCTAACTAGTGTCCGCTACCCCATAGAAATGAATTCCAGGAGAGTATGTATGCAGAAGTGGGAAATCTGCCTCTGGTATTGGGGAGCTGGGACCGGGATGAGGACCTACAAGAGTTCTGGCAAACCTCAGCTGAACAACCTGTTTCTTTTTGGTCTACGAGCAGGATCCTTGCTCTGTTCTAGTGGGCCTCCCAGGCGACATAAAGGGTCTGGTTGTCTTATTCAGAGCAGCTGAACGTGGAGGCGGCCGACTGGATGGTGAGCGGTGAGGAGGACTTTGCCTGGTTTGGATATGCCCTCCACAGCATCAGGGTGGACAGCAGAACCTTGCTGCTGGTGGGGAGCCCCACGTGGAGGAACGTCAGCAGGTGAGTGCCGCTGCAGGGCAGGGACAGGAGCTTGTTGCTGTGGGGGCCCCTGAGTGTGGTGTGCAGGGAAAGGGGTAGGAAATCTGCCTGTCTATGGAAATGCTCGGCTTTGGAACAAGCCGGCAGGTTCTCCATCTTAGGAAGTGAAGAGGACAGTAAGTGTGTTAGTTTGCCACCGCTATGACAAAGTTCCACAGCAGAGAGGGACTGCCTCAGTTCTGGGGGCTCTAAGTCCAAGATCAAAGTGTTGGCTGGTTTCTTTTGAGGCTTCTTGCCTTGGCTGGCAAAGGGCCATCTTCTCCGTGTGCTCGCCTGGTCTTCGCTCTCTGTCCTCCTCTCTTCCTGTAAGGATTAGGCCCACGGGACAGTCTCGTTGTAGTAACCTATTTAAATACCCATCCCCTAAAAGTCACATTTGGAAGTACTGGAACTTAGGACTTCAGCGTAGGGACATGGGGAACATGACTCAGCCCCTAACAGGGTCCCCTGTGTTTGGGGTCAATTGGGAGAGAAGGGTGTCAGAACTGGAGAGCCTCAAGTTGGGCTTAACTCCCATGGTTCCCGCTCCAGGTCAGAATCCTAGGACAGAGTTCAGGGAGAGGTGTCTCCTTTCCTTGGAGCTGCAGACCTGACAGCCCAGCCCTGAGCGCTGGGCTTCACCACTGTCTTGCTCTCTAGGCTGGACCGTGCGTCCCACAGCCACGACAAGCAGAGCCTTGGCAGGGTGTACGGCTACCTCCCCCCAGATCGCCAGAGCAGGTTTATCATTTCTGGTGACAAGGTATGGCGACCTTCCCTCCCCAGGACAGTGGACACAGCAGTCTTCCCAGATTACATTGCTGACTCCTTGTGCTTTCAGGCAATGGGGAAGCTGGGCACGTCACTGTCAAGTGGCCACGTGATGGTGAACGGGAACCGTACCCAAGTGCTGCTGGTGGGAGCCCCGACTCATGGTAGGCCACAGGCCACGGAGCTGTTGGTTTCAGTCTCATGGCTCCCTGACTATGTCACGTCGGGAGAAGGTTGCAAGATCTGGATCCAGGGCAGAAGCGTGGTGCTCATGGGCTTCTCTAGTCCCAGCTCTTGGGAGGCTGAGGCAGCAGCGTTGTTTGAGCCCAGGAATCTGACAATCTGGGCAACATAGCAAGACACCATCTCAAAATAAGTCCCACACCTTTGTTTATCAAAGGCAAGCTGTGTGACTTAGGGGAAGTAACTTACCCACTTAACTTCCATATCCTCTGCAAAACAGGGATTAAAATATCTAGTTCAGGAGTTTGTTGAAAATGACACGTGAAAGTGACTCAGTTAAAGCCTTGATGCCACTAACCTTGGTGCTAGGATTTTCTAAGTTGGTTCATCAGGAAAGGTCTATCTTGAATGTGTACACACACACGCGCGCGCGTGCAGAGGATTGAACCCAGGGCCTCACACATGCTAGGCAAGGGCTCTACCACTGATTTATATTCTCAGCCCTAAATACATTAGTGTGATGATCTGATACAAGTTCAAATTGCTCAGTGTACAAAGCAGGGTCACTGGCCTATCACCTTGCACGTTTATCATTTCTTGTGGCGAGAGCGCTCAAAACTCGTTAACTCCAGTCGCCTAGCTGTACAGTGAGAACACTAACACGTACCCTCCTGTACACATGGAACTCTGTACCTGGTGTGCCGGGTTGGAGAACATTCCCACGGGCAGCCACACTCCGGCTGATTCTGGCTCTGAGACAGCCCTGGGGAGGCTTCCCTCAGGAGTGGCTGGATCGGAGTGGCAGATGCCCTTTCTGCTGGGGACTGAAGCATGTCCAAGAACTCAGGGCCACACCTAGAAGGCAAACTAGCCAATCCAGGTGTGCTACCCTATGCAGCAGGGGCAGGGCCAGTGTCCAGCCAGGCGACAGGGCCAAAGACACAGGCCTCGCATCCTGCTTGCTGTGGAAGGACACATGCAGGGCAGTCCACAGAGTATAAGGAATCTCTTAAGTTCCGTCACTCCAGGGACCGCAGGTTTCCTTCAGGAAGCTTGGAATGATGAAGCGGATGCAGATTTCTCCCAACTTTTCTTGAACCTGGAGCTCAATCCCTGAATATCCACTACTGTACTTCCTTAAGTGTTCTCTTAGGTGTGGTGTGAGGTCAGATTGTTTATCCTAAAATGCACCAGTGACTGAGTCTTTTAAAGGACTGCTACCTGTCTACCTATGTTTTTTTTTTTTTTAATAACTTTATTTTTATGTGGTGCTGAGGATCAAACCCAGGGCCTCGCATGTGCTAGGCAAGCATCCTACCGCTGAGCCACAACCCCAGCCCCCTCCTGTGTTCTTTGCTTGTCTCCACTGACTCTGCTTTGGGCCCTCAGTTACTCGTAGCAGACAATCTGCCATAAACTAGGGGACACGAGGGTTGTGGAGAATCATCAGACCAGTCTCCTTGGTTATACAAGCAGCACCAGGTAGACTGTGCTGAGGCTACGCCCACTCACCAACAATGCCAGCTCAGCAAGCCTTAGGACACCAACCCCACCAGTGCACAGATGCCACTAGTGCTTGGAGGGGTTCCGAGTTCTAAAAGCAAACTGTTTCAAGTGACTACGTGCGCAGGTACAAACCTAACTGGCTTTGTCTTGAATTTGTCCACAATGTATTCATTCAAAAAATATCTGCTGAGCATAGGGATGTGGAACCAAGCCACATGCTGGGCAGAGGGATGGAGACCTAAGACATGGCGTTGCTAGTGGACCTGACAGCTGAGGTAGTAGCTACAGTGGGCAGAAACTGCTGCTGTCCTGCATTGGGCACTGCAGAGCAGGAGCAGCAGCTACCCTAAGCCAGGGAGGGGACACCAGAGCCAAATTCTGGAGGATGAGAGCTGTGGGCAGAAGGCCTGAGCAGGGGTCATGAAAGGTATCTCTTGGCAGACACAGTCCGATCAAAGGCCTGGATTTAAGAACGATGTTGTGGGTGAGGTGGGGGCAGTGGCCTGAACTGGCACTGGAGTCATCTTAGGGAGGCCTTGGGGAAAGTTGGGCTCCATCCACAGTCCACTTGCATTTGAACTTGTAAGGCAGAGTGGCATGAGCAGTCCATGATGTAAAAATAAAAATAGCTCTGCAGAAAACATACGTGGGGGTGGTGAGACTCAGAATCACTGAGCTGCTTCAGTGTTTGAAGTCTTGGTGCCCAAACTATTTGCACCTTCCAAACTGCAGGAGTTGACTGGCCCTGAACCACTGTCCTGTGAGAAAGAGGGCCACAGCACTTTGGGGCATACGTGGGGCAAGAACAGGGTTCTACTGTGTCCACAGCTTGTCCTCGTTTGATGCAGTAGGCACTGTGGCTCATTTCAGATGATGTGTCTAAGATGGCATTCCTGACCATGACCCTGCACCAGGGTGGAGCCACCCGGGTGTATGCGCTGACCCTGGACATGCAGCCTTCTCTGCTCAGCACCTACAGTGGAGACCGTCGCTTCTCTCGCTTTGGTGGAGTTCTGCACTTGAGTGACCTGGATAACGATGGCTTAGGTAAGAAAGGAACAGCGCATTTAGCAAGAATTAAGTCTCTGCCCGATGGACCAGATGGATAACCAGGCTCTGCCCTTGTGACTGACAGCCCAGTGGCCCAAGGGCCTGGACAGATTCAAATCAGATAAGTAATGGTCAGGCACAATGCTGAAGATTGCAACATGAGAACCACCTGTCATTACTGATGGGTGGCAAGAGGAAACAATGGCCTCAAAAGTTACTTTGTCAGGAGGATATCAGGGAAGACTAAGGGTGCATTAATTAATTATCTGTGGGAGGCTGGGTCAGGATCCAGTAGGAGAGGAGGATGAGAGGGAGGATCAAGGACAACCTTCTGCCAGTTCTTACTGTTTACAGATGAAATCATCCTGGCAGCCCCACTGAGGATAACAGATGTAACCTCTGGGCTGCTTGGGGGAGAAGATGGACGGGTCTATATATACAATGGCAAACAGACCACCCTTGGTGACGTAACAGGCAAATGCAAATCATGGATAACTCCTTGCCCAGAAGAAAAGGTAACGTGTTCTGCAAAACTCCACGCCACATTGGGAAAGCGTCACTACTAGCTGGAGCCCTGCTAACTCACGTTGACTGAAGCAGGGACAGGGAGGACGAGAGCTGTGGGCAGAAGTCTGGGGTCTGGGCAGTCATTTGTTGAGCTCTGTGTGACCCACAGCCTGCAGGCTGCCTGGCTTTGCTGTCATGTGGGTCCTGGTCACTGACTAGGAAGGTGCCCACAGGACCTGCTATCACCTGGGCCCCGTCATTGCCTGCCACTGTGTGGTAAGGGGCCCGCAGCAGAAGGAAGGAGGCAAGTGGTGGCCCCTGGAGTTTTACTGAACCTTCCAGCCTTTTGTTTACTCTTTTGTTCCTTTTCTCAGGTTGGTGTCCTTAAGTTATGTTTCCTGGACCTTAAACATTTGATCTTACTATTTTTTAAATTAACAAATTATTTTTTAACTGAAAAATTAAAGTTTCCTGTGAACATTTTAGAAAACACAAGAAAGTACAAAAAAGAAAATTAAAAATCATCTCTCTGGAATTGCACCCTGTAAAGCTAATGCCTGCTGCCCTTTAGAGCATATCCTTCTAGTATTTTTCTATAAATTTAATTCTATTTATTGTGGCATCAGCACTATATATATAATTTAATCCAAATAAAGCTATGAAGTTGCTATTATGCTGAATTATAAATGAAGAAACTGAAGATCACTGAGCCTTTTCAAGGTCATATTGCAAGATAGTAGAACAGGGACTTTACCACTTTTTAACTAAAACCATGATGATATACATGATTTTGTGCACATTGTAATCTGACTTTTTAACTGTTACAATATATGAAATAAGCATTCCTAATCCAAAAATTTAAAATGCTCCAAAATCTGAAACTTTGAGTGCTGATTTAAAGTTACAAATGGAAAATTCTACATAAAACTATTTTCATGCACAAAATTAGCTTGATGGTGATTTTATATAATATTCTATGTGTGTAAGGTATATATATAAAATATAAATGAATTTCATGTTTAGATTTGGGTCCCCTTCCCAAGATATGCAGATATTCCAAAATCTGAAAAAATTCAAAATCCAAAATGCTTCTGGTCTCAAGCATTATGGATAAAGGACTTTTTTTTTTTTTTTAGTTAAAGGGTCATGTTTATTTTCTTATGTAGTAGCTAGAAAGAAAAAGGTATTTATCTGATATTCTATGCCAGTTTAATTAAAAATATCTTATTTGCCAGCTGCCTACTATTTATCTATAAACCATAACTTAACCATTATTAAAGTGATGATTATTGGTCACTTCAGTAAATTTTCCCTGTTGTAAGTAATACAATGGCAAATATTCAGAAACATTTTTATACATTTGATTACTTTTTTGGAGCTAATATCCTATAAATGAAGTTTCTATGGTCAAAGGGCATGCACATTCCTAAGGAGTATCTGGAAATGTTGAAATGCAAGCATAAGGTATATTGTAAAATTGTTTTAAAATCCACACAAATAGTAGCAATAGTACTAATAGCTCCTTTCCCCCCTTTTTAAAAAATCCTCCCAGGCCCAATATGTACTGATTTCTCCTGAGGTAAGTACCTCCTGAAGGACCGAAGAAAGAAAACTGCCAGAAAATGCCCTTTCCCCTTACTTCAACTGAGAAATACAGTGCAGTGCTTCAGATGCCCACTGTCAGTATGTCTTACAGGCAAGTTCAAGGTTTGGGAGCTCTCTGATGGCTGTGAGGTCAAAGGAGAAGGTAAGTGTATGGAATGCACTTCTCTGATGCTTATATCTGTTCTAAGGCCAGGATTTGGTGATCTTCAACAACTTTAGATTTTATTTTTATTTGAAAATTAGCACAAAGGTAGCACTCACATAATATCATTATGTTTTGAATGAAAAGTTCCCCTTCTTACTCCTATTTTATCCCCTATGGCAGAGGCTGTTGGTATACTATAGCCCATGGGCCAAATATTCCACTGCCTGTTCTAGAGTAGCCATTAACTAAAATAGTCATTATGTGTTTAAATAGGTGAAAAATAATATTGTGACATGTGAAATTGATATGAAGTTAAAATCCATGGCTATGCTACAGTGGTAACTTCAGAGACTGATGTCTCACAAAGTCTAAATTATTTATTATCTGGCTTGACACAGAAAATTTGCTGACGCTTGTCCTACTGGAAAACCATTGTTCATATTTTATTTTCTTCCAGACTTGCAGCTCTTAAGTGACTCTAGAGACAGACACATGCAGGGCCACTGTTTCATTTTTATGTACTGTTTGATGTCTTCCTAGAGAAGTACCTGAGCTACCTGCTCCTTTCCTGTTCTTAATAGCTACCTAGTATTTTGTTGTCTGAATTTATCATATTTCAGTTCTCCAGTTCAGATTCTCTGATATTTAGGTCATTTCTCTTTTGGTTTCTTGATTCTTGAATCTATATTTTCATATAACTGCAAATATTCTTGTAAGCAACAATCACTAAATGAAAGCGTGTATACTTTTAAAAATAGTAGATGTAGTAGATTCAAGAGTCTTACCTTAATTTATACCTCTAAACCACTAATTGCATGTGTATGATACTGTGTAGAGCTGTGCTAGAGTATTAAATATAAGCAAAGTCTCTGGTTTTGAAAAATAACATATACATGAGAAATTGAATAAAATGCGAACTGGTGTAGGATTAAACACTGCAGAGCAGAGTGACCAGGAAGCATTAACTGGGAAGAAGGTCTGGGAGGCCTCAGACTTTAAGAACTTGGTAGGCTCTGAGCCAGGATCCTGCCCCCAAGGAGCATGGTGAAACCGCCCTCCAGTGGCCAGCACTGCAGGCTGGCTTACTTACAGCCATGCCTCTCAGCAAAGGTTCAGGCTGAGCACTACACAAACATGGATTAAGCTTATGGAAAGATTCTTGAAACAATACTTTATCATAAGCTTGGATTTTATTTAAAATTTAATGCATTTCATTAACACCATTAATAATTAGATATTAATTAATTCATGCATTTGATTAACTGGTAGCAACAAACCAGAATGCGGAGGCCTTAACACTTACCCAGGTGGTGCTGCCTGCATCTGTATTCTGAAACTTCTCAGGAGGTGCCAGAGCAGAACTCGGGGATGGACCGTGAGCACCAGAGGTGGACAAGAGAACCCGAGGCCTAGTCCCCAGGACCTTATAGTTAGGTAGCAGAATAAAACATGTCTATGAGACGTGGAGGTCAATATGACAACAAAAAGCCAGTCGAAGTGATGCCTATGCTGGCCGGGTCAGGGAAGGCCTGTGGGCCCCAACCTGCACTGGGAAGATGAGCAGATTCTGCCTTGAAGGCAACAGTTAGGGAGGATTTGATTCTATGAAGTGAACTGGCTGGACCAGGAAATGGGAAGGGGACAGACAAGAGCCAATGACAAGCACATGCAGTCAATCAGTAATCCTTAAATAAGGAAGGGAAGGAGAAGAAATTACTTTTTAGATGTTTTCCCTTTTAGCTGGAAGAGATATTTGACATGCGGTAAAGCCTCAATACATCTTAGCCATCAATTCTCCATCCCATCACTAGTGTTTCAAAACTAAATTGATGAAAAACTCAGTGCTCTGACCAAAACATCTGTGCCACTGTTTGGTCACCCAAACCTCATTTACTGGCCTTGGTTCAGAATAATTTTGGCAATTTCTACAAATCAAATCTAACCTTTAATAATGAACATTTGTCATCACTGAAAATGTCTAAGAATCTGCAGCAGGTCTTGCAGGCAATTCTTAAAGGGGGGTTCTAAAATGTTCAAGCAGAGGGGTGATGTGTATATCACCAACCAAGGCAGCCCCTACACAAGGCCTTACTACTCCAGAGATGCTATCTACACTGGGCCACAGCTAGAATTATGGAATAAGCACGCGCCTTTCCATTATTCTTCATGTGCCAGAGGAGACTGGGTGAACTTTCTCAGCTATGGTTCAGAACCTACAGATCTGAGAAGTGGTTATCTAAATAAGGGGAAACGGGCTTTGCTGTAGAACTGGCCAGTAACTTATTCATGTTTAGTTTCCAGAGCCAGGTGTCTGAACTTTAGGAGGAGCTTAGCAATGATCTGTCCATATTGTGTCCCTTACAGAACCAGCTTGTCATTGCTGCTGGAAGGAGTTCTCTGGGAGCCCGGCTTGCGGGGGCACTTCATGTCTACAGCCTCAGCTCAGATTAAAGATTTCACTCCATTTTCCTCCTCTGTCACTCCTCTCGTGTGTGGAATCATCTCCAGGGTGAGAGCTCTGGTGGACCAGTTGAAGTGGGCCAAGGTGGACCCCGATGGTGGGGTCCTGGGAGCGGAGCCGAGCACCAACAGCCAGGCCATCTGGAAACATGGAACAGTAAACCACGTGCCTCCCTCCACCAGAAGCGGTGAACCAGGAAGCACTCTAGCCGTGCACGCCGTGTCCTCAAGCTCACTTCCTTGGCACCTAAGCCTTTCTTCCTAGCTGACTGCCTATGCTCCGACTACCATACAGACTCCTTCCCCTTCCATTTGAACATCTAATGCCTGTAAAGGTTCTCCGTGGTTTTCTCTGAGGACAATCTCTACACAATTCCTCCTAAACAAAACAACCTCCCCACTCCACCCTGCAAACCCTTTTGTTAGTGGACAATTCCAATTAAAACAAATAGCATACAGGAAAAAAAGGAGGAGAAAAAGTACAGAGACGAGTACAGGTGTGAGGGATAACTCACACTCCCAAATTACTAGTGAGTTGGTCCTTTCCAAGCCCATTACATCCCATACTACATATAGGACACATATAATGACTGCTTGATTTGTTTTCATAGGTGTCTTATTTAGAATGATTGCACATAAGGGGTTACTGAGGATTAATGCATTTTCCATGTTTTATATAGTGAAAGATCAACATAACAAAGCTTATGTTGTGCCCTCAAATGCTTTTGCAGATGGTTGTTCTGACAGGTGACAAGCCATGAATCTGCTAGTGTGAAATCAACGAGGGGCTTTGCTGTACTAGCCTGCTATGTTACACCATAGGACTAGAACAGAAAATAAGTCCAGCCTGAGCCAAAGGCTACTGTGAGGGACCACAAAGAAGGATGTGGGCCTTGGCTTCACTTGTCCTTGTGCTGTTCTTAATAGGGTGGATTTCCTCGTGAGTCCCGAGCATGGCACACACAAGGGAAAGGGCTAGTCCCAGGTGTTACTATCTGTAAACAATAACTGTTTTGTGTTAATTGGTGGAGATGTTCTTCTGATAATGGTAAATGAGAAAGCAGGAGAAAATACACAAAAAGAGCCTTTCTCATCTCAGCTTCTCTGGAGACAGGAAGAAGAATCCCAATGGGAAGTCAGAAACCAAAGGAACAGCTGTGGCCAAGATGTGAGCAGAGGGCCGGTGAGCACAGGAAAGTGGGGCGAACGGGCATGCACCCAGGCACCTCTGGCCCGCACCTGGAGCCCCCTCATTTTTCTGAGTTGTGCTGGCTGCATGGCTTCCTATGGCACAGCAAAAAGCACACAGAAATAACATTTAGTTTGTTTGGCTAATAATCTGGCAGCTCAACCTCTTTGAATAATTTTTAATTAAAAGTAAGGTGATTTGTAGGGGACTGGAAATTGCTTATTCACTTTGAGCTGAGAGGTCTGAGTGTAGAACAAACTCAGATGACATCTGACACTACATTCAGGAAAAGTTTTTCTCAGTATTAGATCTTTTAAAGATGCATCTTTCTATTGCTATTATTATGTAAGTATCAGTGTTTTTGTGCTTCACTAAACAACTGCCTGTGTTTAAACACAGTGACTCTCTACCCTAAAGGATCTATTTTTCTCAATGTCTGAACACAGCACAGATAGTAAGCACCAGGTGAAGAAGGTTAAAAATCTTTAAAGATGGAAGCACATTTTTCAAGGTTAGAGAACATTTAGCCAATTAACCTCATTGTCAAAAACTATATAAATACCTACTGTTGAAGGTCAACCTGAATGTCAAATTTGTCAAAAACTTGGCCTTTGGAAAAAAAATTGTCAGTAACGTATCATCCTAAATAGGTAGATTGAATTTTCATCCCACTATTAACTGTAGTTGAATGCATCAACTCTGAAATGCTTGGTAACCAAAATAGAAATACCCTGTACAGGTCTCTTTCACACAAATCAGCTTAATACAATTATTTTTATTTCACGATATCATAAGAATTTACATATTTACATTTCCTATCTTCATCTGTAACAACTTTCATCAGTTTCAAGATTGGAATTGTTTTTATGCCTTTGTATCACAGATCCAAGGGTAAAATAATCTGAGGTGAGCTTGGGAGCAAAACTCAGGTCTGAGTCCCTACTCCATGCACCATCCATTAGATCACTTTTGTAGCTATTACTAAAGTAATGAAAGTTGATTCCAAGTGTGATGTTGGTCTTACAGTGCCAAAGAAAGGAAACCGCATTCCATTCTTGTACTAACTCACCAAATCAGCTTTCTAACGTGTTATTTCAGTCGCTGCTTATTAAGTATCAAACAAGGCTCAATAGTATCTTGAAAGGCCACAAAGACAGTCTGAGTATCAGACCTTGTGCTGCTTCCCTCCTCACATAACTCAGTGTTTTGTATTTTATCACTTTTACATGCTCCATTTATTTTAGTTCAAAATGTAAAATCGGTGATCCTCGCTCTTTTTCAGCAGTTTTTATTTTTCATGAGGACTAGTAATGTGAGAAGCATCCTGCAGTCCCCAAAGCATAGCCATCCGACGTTGAACTCACACCTGATCTAACCACCTTCAAGAATTTTATAAACCTTAGTACTTCCTTTATCAGACTTATGGGGTAATTATATTTCCCCTTTTATTCATGGGACATAACTAATTAAAAAATTGTTTTACCCAAGTTTATAAATTCAGTAACGCTACAAGGAAAAATGGTCCTATGCATGATCTTAGTAAAATCACACTTTGTTCTCTGGGATTCCAATTCTTTATATATTGCAGTTAAGGTAAGTTACCTATTTACAGTGATAAGACCAAAACAAAAAACCCCACAAAGTTTTGAGGTGTGCCAAAGAAGAGTGCCCTGTGAAATCCAACTATTACCAAAGGGTTTGTAATACCAGAGGTTCAGCATCCACACCATGCCAGCATCCACACCATGAGGGGTCCTCCTGACCCACAGTGAGGTGCACTGTGGGCCCTGCAGGGCCCCAAGACCAGCCCTGCCTATTTCCTGCCACAGGTTCTTTCTCCAGCTTTCCTCGACCACCCACAGGAGTGGGGGAAATCTATTTTCTTTCAAATCTACTATTGGAATAACATTTTTACTGCCATCACCAAACCACCTGGTAAAGGGCCCCTTAAACTTCCTCACACAGGGCAACACTGGGGTAATTGGGCATCCTCAACATCAGGGTGGGCATGCTGGCACTTTTGTTACTAGTACACTTGCAGTATAAGAGCTGCTCTGGCCACTGCTCTGGAGGCACATTTTCACTGTAGCATTCTATCATCCAACTGCAGTGAACCCTCAGCAAACACAAAACAGCAGAGGAGATGTTAAGTAGGACAGCAGCTCTCAGAGTTATATTAGCCATATCTTTTAAAGCCAGACTTCCGACTGTAGAAATTAAAAGTACCAGAATTCTAACATTTACCTTCCTCTTGACTTAGGAATCCTATCTGTTAACTTTTGAGGTGCAGGCATATTGATTGGGTAAGCTATATATGTTTTCATTTTGTGGGGAGGTGGTCTAAACAGTAACAGAATGAAAACACTTCCTTTCAACTTCCAAAAGTTCTGTTTATAGCCAAACAAAAAGTTTCAGGGGTTGAAAAAGTGAAATCTTACTTGGAATCCACATAATAGTGATATTAAATTTTTAAAATATGCCTTACACCTGTAAAAGGGACAAACACAATATAAGGTTATGCCAATGATCGACTTTAAAGCACAAACGTCCAGAGTTTGTTTTAGGGTTAACATGTATTAAACTGGCTTTTCAGCCCCCTGAGTCAGGAAATTCACAGGTCCATGATCCCTGTACCAAGAACTGCAGCTATGTGATCTCAGTATGGGTTTATCAAGTGCCTAGGCTTCATAGTATGTATAAATTAAATGCACATAACAGTCTATTCTTATCTATAAAAACTATTTGTAGGAAACAGAATTTTGCCCTTTTAGAAAACAAGTACTTCTTTACTGAGAATTCTACATGTGCCTGTCATAGTTTAAATATCAAATTTTTTCAAGTACATGACTCTATAAAAACAAAGTAATAGTAGTAGTAGAAATATAAAAAAACATTTAGCATGCACCAGGTTGTTGCTAACGATCTGTCAGGACGGTCCTGTTGGATCCAAGTCCCTCTGGCCTGAGGCTGTGCTTCAGTTCCATCCTTCTATCTGCCAGAAAGGGCTTTTTAGGTAAAGAGGCCATCTAAATAAAGCAGGAAATTTGACTTTAATTCATGTCTTTCTTAAAAGCCTCTAGTAAAATCCTGTAGAAAGGAAGACTGTAAGCCTGTATCAGTATCTAAGGTCCTTATTCCAGTGGTGTCATCTTCAACCCAGATGAAAAACAGGAGGTAACTGTTATAGCTTTTCTTAATGAGAACACTGCCTTCTATATTTTAATTTGGTTATGACAAAACCTTAAGCAAGAATTTCATTACTCTAAATGTATAGTGCTGGTCAGTGTTCTACAAAAAAAGCCACAACATTTCTTTCTTATTGTGCCAGGCACCATACTAAACATCCCCTCATTGAGTCCTCCCAATGACCCTTTGAAGCAGGTAGTATTGACTTAATTGATGGATGGAGACACTGAGAGAGGTCTAAATAAATTAAGTAACTTTGTGGCCTCACAAAGCCATCAGGCTTAGGCCCAGGTTATGTGATTGCAGAGCCCATGATCATCTCTGAAATACTGCTGTGAACCAGACCCTTCATACCATGGGAGGCAAAGGAGCTTCTAGTTGTCGTCCAAGGAATGAGAGCAAACGCCTCCAGATAAGTCCACTTCCCAGAAACATGATTCCTGTAATCAGCCAGAACACTCTGTGGTCCTAAAAGAGAAGGAGCTCATCTCAATCACAGAAGGCTAGGTTCCTTGGAGATAAAACTTCACAATTATTGGCTAGAGTTTAATGGCAGCCTTCTGTTACTCATGCAGCTGTTTCCTGTAGAAAGGAAGAAGTACCTGGACACACCAGAGATCAGGAATGGAGACAACGGAGCAAAAGACCATCCAAGAGGACTTAGATGTTTTTAAGTCATCTATAAGCAAGCATAGCTGCTTTGTCTCTTCTAGTCTTCATTTGTCCCACACACAAATCTACACACTGATAATCAGAGGACATACAACTAGTGTTCAACTG